TGTGTGTGTGTGTGTGTGTGTGTGTGTGTGTGTGTGTGTGTGTGTGTTTATAACTCCTGGCTATTCTTGGCCGTACCAAATATCTTTTTTTTTTTTTTTTTCCCCTTGGAGGGGTATCTATGATGCATTAATTTTCTCTGAATATAAAATTTGGCAGAAGATTGTTACTCTTTCTACACCTCCACGTTCCTCCTCGATCGGTTTCTTGCCTGATTTGCAGCCTTACCTGTTAATACCGTTTGTTGGTGAGACTTTTTCTCGTCTAATTTGTCAGCAGTAGTTATCGAGTGTCCCCTGGTGTGCGGAATACTGATGAAATGCCTGAATTCTTGCAGTACCACAAAGTGCTATTCTGGATAAGACAAAGATTTTTGGAATTTGTTTACACTTTTTAACCCCCTTCCTGCAAATTTATTGAGTTTGCCATCCCTTTCCAACTTAATCTTTATGTGGAAAATGTGTATCAGTCAATTTTGTGTTCTTACAGTCTTGCAATTTGGCTGACAGACATTCCAGAGGAGTGTTTTATATAGCTAAAGGAATTTCAATCACTTGGGTCTTTGGGGACTTCATGCAAATCACTTTAGACAAATGTACCTCAAGAAAAACACACTGATCCTTTTAATTCTTTAATTGTATTTAATAATAGAAACCGAAGTTTCCTGTCTAGAACACCTTGATAATTGGGGCTTATTTGATAGCCCCTTTGTGAAGTGTTGTAGTTGGGTAACACTGCTTGATCAGCATTCATAAAATGAAATGAGAGGCCCCCCCACCCCGCCCCCGGCCATTTTTTCTTGGGACCGTCATAGTCCATAATAATGAAGTCAAAGGAAGGTTTTTAGGTCTGAGGGTATACCTGTCTGCATATCAGTATGATACAGTTGCTATCAATGTTGACATCACCATTTTCTAACAGCCTTTCTGGGGAGCTAGGTATTAAAAAGGCACGTGGCTGTTTGTTCTCTTTTAGGTTTTGGATAACCACTCCAGCAGTAAGATTTCTTTTTATGTTTATTCAGTTTTGATAGAGACACAGCATGAGTGGGGGAGGGGCAGAGAGCAAGGGAGACACAGAATCTGAAGCAGGCTCCAGGCTCCGAGCTGAGCTGTCAGCACAGAGCCCCGACATGGGGCTCGAACTCCAGGACTGCGAGATCATGACCTGACCTGAAGCTGGATGCCTAACCGACTGAGCCACCCAGGCGCCCCTAGCAGTAAGATTTCTTAACTCATAGTTAGGATTGCATTTCTTTGGCAGAGCAATTTTGTTAGATAACGTTTTTTTTTTTTTTTTCCCAATTCCTTAAAACTTTTAACAGTTATGTAGCTGCTCCAGAGGAAACTCTTGCTTCATAAGATGTTGGCTTTATAGTATGAATTCTAGATCGTTTGATAATTGAGGAGAGGCTAGATTTTTCTCTCCTAAGAAACTGGTTCAGCCAAGGGAGACGTGATTAGTAAATTCATTCTAGTTGCCCTGGCAAAAATATAATTGCAGATTCTAAGATTAAACAAATATAGTTTATATAGATTACAGGTGATATTTAACAAAATCAAACTTATGGTGTCCCATTTTTCTGAGCTTTCCCCAAATATGGGTTAAAAATATGTTATAGTGTCACTCTTGGGATTATTTAACTCATATTTGGAATGGTCATTTACCATAGTAAGTAATTGGGGAGTACAGAGGGATGCTTCTATCATCTTACTCCTGGTTTCCTTAGTGAAAATACTGACTGGACTGTCACTTGAATGAGGTTACTTAAATTATTAAGTATTGACGCACTCAACTTATAGAGCCTATAATTTGCTCTTTCACTATTTAAGGAAAACAAAATTATAATATTTTGAAATATTTAATTATGTTGTTAGTGGCATTCCCACTATTTTTCATCTCTCCTTTTCTATTACTGTGTCAGAATTTAGACTGATGCTCAGTAGATATTCAAATGTTTTGAATAATTGAAAGAATGGCAAGGTCAAAGAGTTTTTGATTATAACATCATTTTGTAATTATGTGGCAAAAGGTTTGGGAAAAATGTTGATTGGTCTCAGCTGCAGTTTTCTCAAGTATTTCGAGGATTGCTATATTTGATTACTTAAACTGTTTTGGGATCTTTGGGGAAAAAAGTACAGTAGACATATATTTTGTGTTATGCTTTAGTCCATTGAGTGGATTGTTCATTTAGAATGGTTATTTGACTCGTGTCTTGTCAGTATTCATGAGCAATGAATTCAGATAACATTTTGTGCACTTAAAATCAGCATAAAAATTCTTGGCTGTGTAAGCTTATCCTAGATCATGATCAGTTTCCTAAAATTAAGTTAATTTTTCAAGAGCTATTTTTTCAGGTGGCAGAAATGGAAGGTATCTTAAGTACTGTGACAGTGGTTATGTAATGTTTCAGTGATAGTGATAATGTTAGTAGTAACTAACACATAGCGTTTACTACTTGCCAGGTTGAGTTCTAAGACATTCAGTCTTTACAACAACCCTGTTAGGGTTGTTCGTATTCCCATGTCACAGACTAGGAAGCTGAGGTTACACTAAAGTGACACAGCTACTTACTGATAGAACTTGGTGTTGGCTCTTTGATTATTCTGTAATAGTGAACGCTTACTGTATGGCAAGTTTTTTATATAGATTAAGGTAGTTTTATGACAACTGCATGGTATATGTTAATTCCTAGTTAATTCCTAATTAACACTAGGAATGTCAGGCTCAGAGAGCTTAGGTATCTTGTCCAAGTATGCTCCCAAGTAGGGTGAGGAAGGCTGGCATAAACCCAGGCCTCTATGATTTATAGTCTTTACTAAAATTTGGTTTCGAAGTACCAATTTGAGGTCCTGTATTTTATATTACATACTTAGAAGGCATACTTAAAACAGCCAATCTAAAGGCTTTTTCAGCTGACACACAGGATGGAAAATGTTCACTTCTCTGCTGTCTTGTGAGCATGTACAGGATTATGATTTCCTGTTAACTTGCTGTAGGTTCACTTGTTTCCCACTCATGTAAATATATTGGAATGCAAATGAGTGACATTTGTAAAACTTTTCCAACAAGGAAGTCATTCTTAGAACGTTGGTTCTTTAAATATACACATTTCTTGTGACACATCCCACGTCTTGATTGTGGTACCATGGGTGAGAATGGCTTTTTTCAAAGATGTTGGGTGATTTTGTTTAAGTGAAGACCTAATGCAAAGATACATTTTTGTAGCTATTTATTTTGAAAAGATGCTGTTCAGTGTACTATTGTATGCAACATTGTGAAGTTTTTAATCCTGTGCAGTTATTTTCTGCCATGCAAGTAATCTCTACTTGATATATTCTAGTTGGTACATTTTGTCTGGTATTGTGTTAAGTTTAGACTGATAAAGATACTCTTCACTGTGCTTAGAATAATACTTCTTCCAATCAAAAATTGGCATGTTCTTAGATAATTCACTTTACATTGAATGCTTATTTAGGTCAATTTTAGGACACACTTGCTATGAAAAGAGTTATATATTCCTAGATATAATTATTTGGCAATTATTTATGTCATTTCTCTGTGTGTGAGAGGAATAGAGAATTTGAAGGCACTAATTTAGATGAAATCTGTGATTTAATAGGTCTTGAAATGTTTTTGTTTTTTTTTGTTTTTTTGTTTTTTTTTTTAAGAGAGAATGTGAGTGGGGAAGAGGAGGGGCAGGGGGAGAGAAAGCGAATCTTAAGCAGACTCCATTCTCAGCACAGAGCCCAACGTGGGACTGGATCCCTGAGATCATGATCTGATCCGAAACCAAGAGTTAGACGCTCAACCAATTGAGCCACCTAGGCGCCCCTCATATGACATTCTTAATTTAATTTCAGTGCAATGTGATAGGGAGGGCAGAATATAATTTTATTAAAATAATGTATTTTTAAGCTGAATGGTCATTTAAAAACCTGTTTTTGATAATGTATTTTTTTTTTTGACAGCTAGCACAGTACTTGGTATAGGATTGTTATTAATCACCCGAATACATTTTTAAAAATTTTTAATGTTTGTTTATTTTTGAGAGAGAGCATGCGCATGCACTCACGTGCAAGTACGGGACGGGTAGAGAGAGCGAGACACAGAATCTGAAGCAGTCTCCAGGCTCTGAGTTGTTAGTACAGAACCTGACACGGGGCTCGAACCCATGGACCATGAGATCATGATCTGAGCTGAAGTTGGACGCTTAAATGTCTTGAGCCGCCCAGGTGTCCCTAATCACCTGAATACTTAATGAGCACCTAA